TCTGTCCTTAGCTTCGCCTTGGTCCAGGTCAACATGTTCGTGGCTCGTCTGAAGCTCGCAATCAACTACCTCATCAAGACATGAAACATCCAGCAATTCGGGGTTTTCGGGCTCAACACACACTCTCGCAGAGCTACGATGACCTCGATTCGAAGTCGAACGATGAAAATCACGACTCGAAGACGACTTGCGAGACCGACTTCGACGAAATTGTTCCGTTTTGGCGATCAAATCTTGCGGTTTCAGCGCTAAAGGATGGTCATTCCGAACTGACGCAAGCCAACTAACTGAAGCAAACATGGTTGGTTTCAGCGTTACGCCGTGCTTTCGGACGGTAATTACGCCCTGCTGGTCGCACATTGCTGGCTCCCAACCTCCATTCTGACAAAGCAAGTTGATGTTCAGCAAATTGTGCTTGATCTGATCGGAAATGACGGCTTCAAACCTAGCCCTACACATGTACACAGCGTCACCCTCATGCTCAGAACTGCTCTTCAATGATGCTGGTGTGGTGGTTTCAAAGCAAACTTCCACCAAAACATGTGTTGATCCGCCAATCTCAACGGAATCTCCTGTCGCAGTCTCCGCATACGATTTCGGGCGTCCTTCAAGCCATGCAAGGACCTTCACATGATCACTCTCAAGCGTCTCTCTCGTGATGATGTGGAACGAACTACCAGAGTCAATCAACCAGTAAACGCGATCATCTGAAGGAAAACTAACCACCTGGTTCGTGAGCATCATACCAAAGTGATATCCCTCCAGAAACGTCTTGATTGATGACTGTGCTTTTCCACTACCCTTGGTTGTGGGCTGTGCTGCTGCTTTCGCCGAAGTAGACGATGAAGATGATGGTGCCTCTGGCTGCGTCGTAATGGCCTGGTTCGTTGCCGCTGCGGCTTTGTCCTTCGGTGGTGCCCAGCAGTCGCGTGCCCAGTGTCCAGTCTTCCCGCAGTTCCGGCAGACATCTGTCTTCTTCGCTTCTCTGCTCTTGCTCCGAGCTCGGTCTCCTTTTCCGCCTTGGTCACCTTTCTTATCCTTTCCTTTCGCTTTGCCACCCTTCAGTCCCTTTTCTCCTTTCTCGCCTTTGTTGCCCTTGTTGCCCTTGGAGCCTTTGTTGCTCTTGTCTCTGTCGCCCTTTCCGCCCTTGCCACCCTTGAAGGCATTCGCATACCCGGATGCTCCTTCTCTCTGGAAGTCCATCACACGAAGCTGCTCATCGTAAAACTGCAAACCAGTCATCAGCTCACCCATGCTCTTTGTTGAGTGATGGAGGAGCAGATATCTCTTGGTCTCAGAATCCAAGTGCTTCATCAGGCACAGGACTCCCTCTTGTTCTCCGATGAGCAACTCCGGGAAGCGATGCTTCACCTGCGCCTCGAACTTGAGAAGCTCGGTGGTGTACCACCTGGCGACATCAAGTGGTCGCTTGAGATGCTTTGGTGGCACCAGGCCTAACGCCTGTTCGCGGAGGGCCTGTCCCTCCACTCTGGAGCGAACTGACAATTCGTTGTTCAACGAGCGCCAGAGTTCGTATCCGGCACTTGCTCCCATTTGTTTCACCTCGATGAGATGCACCAAATCTTGCCCACGTTGGAACTTGCTCATGGACTGACGAAGCAAAAACCAAAGTTTGGTTGACCGGGCTGCTTTCCCGGCTTCAAGCCTCACTTGCAAGACTTCCACATTGCTACTGATCGCTTCTTGCAATTCCGTAGCGTAGCGGTCGTCGAGCAAACAAAGCCAACTCGTAAGTTCGTCTCTGTAGGCTGTCCAAACTCGGATTTCAGCATGTCTGCTCGTCATGGACGCATAGTTCAGCTGAGGCAACTGTGGAATGTAACCCTCTGCTCTCTTGTTTCGTACACCAGAGTCTACTTCCATGTCCACAGGAGTCGATGCATTCGCAGGTGCTGCTGAGGGGTCTCCTCCAGGTGTAGGACTCGTCGACGATGAAGCTGCAGCTGCTGCAATATGCGCATTGGCAGCATTCGCACTTGCAAGCTGCAATGCTTGCGTAAGCATGGCACTCATCTGTTGAAGTTGAGCTGCCTGCTGTCGGATCTGCTCGTCCTGCGCTTGCAGCATTGCTCTCGTGAACTCCATCTGTTGAGCTACTCCAGGTGCAACGGGCAACTGCATATTCGGAACTTGAAGGGGTTCTTGTGGTGCCGTCTGAGGGGGTGCTCCCATCTGGTAGAACTGAGGTCCAAACGAGGGCACAGCCCCGACTGGTGGCTGATGGCCTGCTCCAGTCGTAGCTGTCCACTGCCTTGGGTCTACTCTGCGTGGAACTGAAGCTGGTCGCGCTGGCAAAGACCTTCCACGTTCTCTTCTCCCACGGGCACTTGGTGACCTTGCACCAGCAAGCCCTGTGGAACTCAGGCTGCTTGCACTGCGGCCTCTTGGAGAACGGTCTCGTCCAGGCACACGTTCTTCACCATTGTCCATGCTGGAGCACGAGGCTCCGCTACCACGTTGAAACTCGTGGCACAGCTACGGGGGCCTAAGGGACCTCAGGTCAAGACTACACTCAACCCTCACAGCACGAAGTGCGGACTCTTTTCACTGCGCTGTTCACAGCTTCTCGAGCTCCGCTCGTCTTGAGCCAATGCGAGCACGGCTCTCCAGCTTCAAACACTGTCTGCCAGACATGGGAAAACAAAGGTACTTCAGGTGAAAACACTCAGCCATGGAACTTCTACTCCTAAACACTGTGGGTAGGTTCCTAGCACCTCTTAGGTGCTCTGCTGAGCTCTGTGCAGACCTAAACTGGCTTGAGTCACTTCTGGTCACCAAATACCGGGTCACAAACAGGAAACGAGTTTCGAGAAAACGAACAGAAAACGGTTCTTCCCACTCAAAACAAGGTCTCACCAAGCCAAGAGAAATCTGCACTGCCTGACATGTCCTCGTATATATAAGTAAGGGGGCACTTATGGTAACTTATTCCAAAAGCCACTAAAATGTCGCTACAGCCTTTTATGCTGCAACGTCACTACAACGTCACTACAACGTCACTACAACGTCACTACAACGTCACTACAACGTCACTACAACGTCACTACAACGTCACTACAACGTCACTACAACGTAACTACAATGTCACTACAGCCGCGTTGTGACCACATTGTGTTGTGACCGCGTTGTGACCGCGTCGTGACCGCGTTGTGACCGCGTTGTGACCGCGTTGTGACCGCGTTGTGACCGCACAAGATGTTAAAATGAAGCGAAAAGAATTTCGTTTGTTTCAATAATGAGTCAAATATGAACCAACAATGACTCATGTGCAACAATGGCCCTACCCAGAAATTGGAAGTATATCACTTTTTGACCGCGTTGTGAACGCGTTGTGACCGCGTTGTGACCGCGTTGTGACCGCGTTGTGACCGCGTTGTGACCGCGTTGTGACCGCGTTGTGTTGTCAAAATGGAGCGAAAAAGAATTTCGTTTGTTTCAATAATGAGTCAAATATGAGCCAACAATGATTCAATAATGACTCAATAATGTCGCAATAATGACTCAATAATGTTGCAATCTTTGCTCAAAGCAGAAGTTGCAGCAGTAGCAGCAACAGCAGCAGCAGTAGAAGTAGTAGGCAGACTTCGAAGAGACTCCAAAAAGACTGCAGTCTCCACCGTAAGAGATTCCATAAAGACTGAGTCTTTCACCGAGTCTCTGCAGCGAGTGCTGCTTATGCATGTTACTGCAGTTTGCAGCGCTTTTACGACTGTTCTTCGCGGTGCTGCTGTAACGGTCACTACGCGTCACTACGGGTCACTACGGTGTCACTACGCGGTCACTACGCCCAAACTCTTCAAAGGCTCCGCGCCACGCCAGCCTAGCCGAGCATGCAAAAGCCTCTCCCATAGAAAACATGGCAGAGGCTAGGGCTAATATCATCAAGCAGGTATACGACAATCCGAGAACCGGCTTCGGCAATCAAGCAGAAACCCTCAAACAAGCTCGCTTGCAAGATACGCCGCGTCGACGCGGTCTCTAGACGCATGTCAGAGCTACACCTCACCGTAGAGCTGCTACGAGGTCTCTACACGCATTCTAGATTGCACGCAGCCACGACGCGCTCACGACGCTGTTTTTACGGTCACGACGCGGTCACGACGGCACGGTCACGACGCGGTTGCGACGCGGTCACAACGCTTTTGCGGTCACGACGCGGTCACGACGTTGTCGCGACGCGGGCGCTTTTGTGGCCACAACGCGATCACGCGAGGCAGCCACGACGCGGTCATGACGGTTGCGACGCGGTCACGACGCGGACACGACGATGTCGTCACCTCGGTCACGACGCGTTTTGTGGTCACGACGCTGTCACGACAGGTCACGACCGGGTCACGACGCGGTCACGACGCGGTCAAGTGAAACCCAGAGCCCGCAAAACCAGCTGCGAGCACGGATTCGCCGATTTCATTCACGAATAGCCAGAAAAATCATGCCAACAAGTAAGACTCAAAGTTGAAGAACGGCAGGGCTGGACAACACTCGCACAAAACTACTGTCATGCTTGAAGCGTTCCACATCGTGCTGGCAGGTGAGTACTGGCTGAGCAAAGCAATTCAAGCGCTCTTCCCCGCTTTTCTTCAAATGGATTGATCGCGTCTGTGCACTTCACACAGTGAGACACTGATCATCGCCAAGGGCTGCTATGTGGCGCAAGCACCTCCCTCATCGCTGACACTGCACACGCTGCCGTTTCGGTAGCAGGCTTGATCTAACCGTGGTGTGGCCCGGAAGCAGCGAAATCTTTACTGCAGTCATCTAGTTCACTGCAGCAGTGGCCTAGCTCGCTACTGCTGCCGATCTAAGCACACCACTTGCAGCAAAAATGACCACACCGAAGACTGGCATGATGCACGTCGCAAACCTTGACATGTGAAACTGAGCGAGAGACGTGCAAAAGGATGTGCAGCGTTAGATGGCGCCTGTGCAGCACTGATGCTCCGATTTCCTCAACAAATCAAATCGCCCGGCCCGGCCTTTCAAGTTGCCGATCGCGGCAAAAAGCCGTAGCAGTCTCGCCTAGCAGTAATGCTGTCACGTGGAAGGCAAATGGCCGATCACGAAGCCGAGGGTCGGGCTCGCTGGTGTCCTGACGCAGGGCTTCCGATGTGCGTTCGATGCGCTGCCACGCTCCGCCAGCCTGCCAGCATCATAAGCAGCATGGGAAGGAGCCAACAGAAAAGGCTGTCTGGGGCTCCGCGCTTCTTGTAAGTAGATGTCGATATGCCTTGGAGCAATGTCCTTGAGATCGGGGTTCTTCTGCTTGATGGCCTCGTGACTTGCGCACATGTCGGGACATGAGCAAAGGAAGCGCGCCGAGTCCGGGTCTGTCTTCAAGTGGTCCACATTTTTGAGTGTCGGATGGTCCTTGCCGAGATGCGACCAAACTCCACTTCACATGGTGCGGTGTCCGATGGCCTGAGGAGACTCCACCTGAAACGCCGGCTCGAGCTCGTCCTTGCCCTCAGGGTCCTCTTGACGAGACGTTATCTGCACAGAGGCGCTGCTCCAAAACGACCGGCAATGGGAACCCTCCTTGGGCCTCAGCTTTTCTGTGATCTTCCCATCCTGCGAGTCGAGTGGGTCAACACTGCGGCAGACATGAACTGACGGCAAGCTTGCAGAAACACTCCCAGCAAAGAACAGCCAAAAAACTGCCAGCCTCCCGCCCCCTCCCCTCTCCCACGATCAGACGTGTGCCACTATGGGCATGCCGCATGCTTCGCCCCTGTCGACGAGCGTCCGAGACACACTGGAGCCCAGATCCCAACAGGTGCCCCAACCCTGCGTTCAGCTGAATGCTACTGATGCTCTCGGTCAGCCTTGCGCTCCAATTACCGGCACTTGCTCTCACACAGCAGAGTCCTCGCGGATCAGTTCCCGCACCCAGACGGACGTTGAGGTCGCGCCTGCAGGGCGCAGAACGCCAAAGGCTGGCAATCTCTAATGGTCACATGTCTTGGCACCCTGCAACGGTCTCAAACCTCTCAAACCTTGCAACTCTTGTGCCTGATCCGGCAGATGGGCCTGGGTGCTAACAGACGCAACGCAGGCAACGCAGCTGAGATTTGCAGATCAAACAAGAAAAAAGGAATCCGAAGGAGCACAGATCATGACATGTGCACGAAGGCAAGAGACCTATTTCCGAAACACAGAAGCAGAGAAGGATGACCGACAAAACAAAAACAATACTACCAGACTTCTCACCCAGCGTCTGCTCTGAGCTTTTGTAAACAGGTGGACGCTCTTCAGCGATTGCACACTGTGGAGCTCAGGCTCGCCGTCGTCCTTAAGCACCAGCCTCCTTGCCACGAGGTCGCAGTCCACCCTGAAGGTGTTGATGCTTGTGATGCCCTTGCTCTTCACGTGAACGGTGTAGGCGGTGTGGGCGATGTTGGGGACCAAGCCTATGACTTGGACATCGCCTCCACAAGATGTCATCACGGTCTGAAGCACCTTGTCATTGTCCTTGCCGATCATGTAGACACCCTTGTGCTTGGCATTCTTGTAATTTTCATACTTATTGAAGCGGCCAAGGTGCTCTTTGATCTGTTTCTTCGCGCCCTCCATGACAAACGTCTCCTCACAAATTTTGACCATAAGGTCTGGCTTCCCGTCACCCTCCGTCGACGATTGTGGAGCAAAGGGCTTGTAGCCGATTTCCGTCAACACACTGAGGATGGCTTGGTTATACTGTTGCTCGTGTGGGAGACCGCCCTTCGCCAACTGAGATACATCTCCTTCGAAGCTCACGACCTTGGAGAAGAACAGGTAGGGCAACGCTCGCATCAGTAAGTCTGCACAGTTTTCGGGTCTGCTGGGCAAGAACTGAAGCTGTAAGCCACAGGTCTTCTTCAGTTGGAAGCGGTAGTACGCGGCCAGCAAAGGGTTCGCCACCTTGTAATGCAGGTCGTCATTGGTCCAATTCAGCTTCTGAAGCTCTTCTGCGCTGTCATATTTTGGAAGCACGAAGCCGTTGATGGTGAGCTCTCTCCGAATGTCTTGTCCGATGGGCCGTGCCCCTGCACACAAGAGCTCTACAAACTCTTTTGGCGTATGTTCAACAGAGCTGTATCGTCCATTGACTTTCACGGCACGGCTCTCTTTCAGAGCGCCCAGAATCTCGGTGTCGCTACAATCCCACTGTCCATGGCTATAGCTATTCCGCACAACCCCCACCGTCTTATTGACATTCCAGCTTTCACCACTCGTCTGCTTGCTCTTCACCCAGTGCATCGCAGCCATGAAAATGCCTCGATGCCCACCACAGAAGCTGGCGAAGAAGTCGATGCTCTCTTCGTCCAGCTTGACGCCACTTTCCTCCAGCTGTCTTTTCAGGTCTAGACTGCAGGGTAGAGGTGGTGTCCACATGAATTTTTGGGTGATTTCATTTGGCGTTGTCATGGCGAGGCTTGATGTGCTTGAAGCATCACCTGACGCTGATAACAGCAAGACCCGTGGTCGATAGTGAATGCTTGCTTTGAATAGGGCTGAGCATAGGTTTTGAGAGAGGAACAGTGTGTGAGCTTCATCATAAATCAGGGTCAAGTTGTTGTCCTTGGCTTGCTTCAGCGCATTCCCGAAAGCTGAACCATCTCCGTCAACTTTTTTGCCTGTTGCTTTTTCCACGGCTTGCACTGTTCTCACCCTCCAAGCATCGTCATGACCATGTTCAGTGAAGGGCACATTCACATACGTCTCAGAGCGGCCCAAATGCTCTGCCAATGTGGTCTTGCCGATGGCCACGCCACCGCGGATGAATACAACACTATGCCCGCCATCAAACAACTTGCCAATGTTGTCAGCACATCCTTGTAAGGAAATGAAAACATGTTGGTCTTCCAGAGCCACTTCTCCAATGGGTGGAAGTGTCCGAAGCTTCTTAACAGGTGGCTCTTCTTCGGCAGGTCGCTCCATGGCAGAGGACAGCTACGCATCTCGCAACGTGGATCCTCCATGTGTGCATGATAAAATGGCAAACAGTCTGTCAACACGTGGTGCGCCGTATCTCATGAATGCTGCAGCTGACTGCTTGAGTGACAAACCTCAACTCAGTGGGTTGTGCCAACACCTGCATTAACGGACACATCAAGTCTCGCGCCATCAAGCACCCACGCAAGGCGTTACCATCAGGCGCGCGATACAACATGTACAAATTGGCAGGCACAACATGAACTTTGGGACACTCAAAACTTCAATCTTGGTCATCGCCCTTTTGTAACCGAAGACAGACGAGCAAAATTCGCGCGCAAGTTCCACGCACGGGCTTTCTTCCACTTGACTTCTACCACCCTTCGCCAACTGAGATACACTAAGCTCACGACCTTGGAGAAGAACAGGTGGGGCAATGCTCGCACCAGTGAGTCTGCACAGTGTCGGGGATTGCTCGCTTCACGCAACTTCTAAACGGCACTGTTTCTTCAGAACGAAGCGGTAATATGAAGCCAGTAGAGGGTTCGCCACTTGGTATTCATGCTCTGCCGATGTGTTCGAAGCTCTTGACAGGCTTTCCATCTTCTGGTCGCTTCCTGACGGAGGAAACTTAAACGCGTGGATGCTCAATGTGCGCATGCTAAAATGGCGGACAGTCTGTCAAAACACATGGCGCGCTGTTTCTCCATGAAGGCTGCGGCTGACTGCTTGAGTGACAAGAGGCGGGTTGACAAATTTCAGTGATGAGAACCTCGGCTTTCGAGGTGCCGTGCAACTATCACTTTTACAGAAATCGGGAGTTCAGCGTGGCTGTCACTGCGTTAGACTGGTGTTTCGCAAACGGCGCGTGCAGTCACCGAAAGCCCAGTACAGTCACGCAAAAGAAGGGTACCGTCACTCAATGCCTCGTACAGTAGTGAAAAGGCCCCGACCATCACCCAAAAAGGCGCCGTACAGTCCAGAGGCCCTGTGCAGTGAAAGCCCCGTAGAGTCACCCGCAAGCGGCGCACAGTCAAGAGCTCGTGCAGTCATCCAGCATTTTGCGGCTCTGCGCCTTTTGGCGTGGACGGAAGGGCAGATGCTTGATCGCATGAGATTTCAGTTACGCAGGGTGTCAATGCGTTGAGGAGAACCCAAAGCAAGGGCATGTTGGAACTCAGGTAGGGGTTCAGCAAGTTTGGTCTGAAGGCAAGCTTCTGAGAGCACCTGAACGGCGCTTTTTTGAGCTTCCCACTCGAATGGTTGGCATACTTGGTCTGCGCACAGAAATGGCGGGAGATTGCTAGCTAACAACATGAATGGCACGGACGATACGTGCGAACGTGACAAAGTGAGGCGCAGGCAACTTTGCTGGCGTTCATTTTTCAAGCGTCAATTCCCTGTCGTCATCGTGACCACAAAAAATGGCGGTGCGGTCGTGACCACAAGCGTCGCGACTGCGTCGTAACGCGTGATCGTCGTGACCTCCGTGACGACGCGTCGTGACTCTGTCCACAACGCGTCGTGACCGCATCTTGACCGTTTCGTTCCCTGTCGTGACCTGTCGTCGTGACGCACGTGAGCGTCCTGTCATGTCCGTGTTCGTGACTGTGTCACGTCATCGCGTCGATGCCCAAAAGCGCTGTCGTGACCGCATCATGACTGCGTCGTGACCACGTCGTGACCACGTCACGAAAAAGCGTCGTGACTGCGTGGCAATCGCGTCGTAACGTGCCGTCGTGACTGCGTCATGACCGCACAAAAAGCAATGTGTCGTTCGCGTGCAATCCAGAAATGTGTGTCAAGACCCGTAGCTCTACGGTGAGGAAGCTCTACAGTATGTCTGGAGACCGCGTACACGCCCCAGTTACATTTTAAATGGAATTCACGCATGAATGACCACGTCATTTTCCAGATTTTGGACTCAAACCCGATTCGTTTAGGTTTAAATTTCGCCCAAATCATATTTCTAAACCTGATTCGTTTTGGATTTAAGGCCCTACTGGGGGACACTCCACAGCCGAGCAAAAGCTTCCGACAGAAAAAAGAGGCTGATCAGGCAGGTCGAAACCCTCCAACAGCTCGATTGCAGATTCGCTTGTCTAACCGTTGAAAAGCTTGGGCGCAGAAAGAGCTAGGGTCTTGCTCTTGTGGAACCGTCTGCGTAGTGACCACGCAGTGCCCGCGTAGTGACCGATGAGCGCGCAGACTTAACTTGGACTTTTTGCATCTGCACATTACTACGGTACTATTTCGTCATTGCTGGTGCTTTTATATTGAGTCATTTGTTGGTTCATACTTTGTCACTATTTTAATTATAGTTGAATTAAACGAGGCTTTTTTCCGCAGAGTCCATATGTTCAGTATTTTTTTTGCTTTTTTTGAGTCTTTCCAGCAAACGTTGTAGTGACATTGTAGTGACGTTGCAGCGACATGCTGCAAAAGCGGCTGTAGTGACGTTGTTGTGACCATGCTGCAAAAGCGGCTGAAGTGACATTGTAGTGACGTTGTGTGACCATGCTGCAAAAGCGGCTGTAGTGATATTGTATTGACGTTGTAGTGACGTGACGTTGTAGTGACGGCTAGAGTGACATTGTAGTGACGTTGTAGTGACGTTGTCGTGACATAGGACGTTGTAGTGACGTTGTAGTGACGTTGTAGTGACGTTGTAGCGATGTTGGAGTGACATTGACGTTGTAGTGGCGTTGTAGTGACGTTGTTGCAAAAGGGGCTGTAGTGACATTATAGTGCGTTTGAAAAGGCTACCATGAGTGGCCCCTGACTGAAAAAAATCGTGGAGAGCTCCACGCCCCGAGGTCACGGCACCCTGCACATCCAGGGCCCTTGACGACGGCGCCTCCCGAGCCGCCTGTGATGGTGAGCTCCGCTCACCACGACCGGCGGCACGAACCTCGCCAACGCCCGGGCATGGCCTGGGACCTGTTGGTCACGATAAGGAACACGCAGCCGGAGGTGAGCGCCCTGCTGGCACCCCTGGCCAGCAAGTCCTGGGTCCTGGCCACCCTGGGCAGCTTCTACGATTCAAGCGAAACCGCCATAGCACGACCGCAGAGATGCTGCGATTGCTGCGGCCGTGGGCGGCATCGACCTGAGCGCCTACGGTGGACCGGGCTTCAGGCGCCCATCCTGCACGAGATTGCCATTGCCCTCGTATCGTTCTACACCTCCGCGGAAGTGGACGGGCTGATCGCAGTACGCCGATCTGGGGCCTCGAACTCGATGCCCAGCGTGCCGGCCCCGCAACATCAGGAAGTCGCGCCCAGGATGGGCGTGGCGCTCAGGGGCGTTTGGGGGAGGAGGGCCCTGATCGTGTGTGAATTGCTCAGCACATCGTGTAGATGCCCCGCCCTCCACGTTTGCGTTGACTGGGAAGTGCAGTCCAGGGGCGCTAAGTCGCTGTTGGAGAACCGGCCACGGGCTCGTGACGAATGCCATCTCCACACAGGTCCCGGAAATGGAGCTCACCATCACCGGCGGCTCCACCGTTAACAGCAGGGACGTGACGGGGAGGTGCTGAACCTCGCAGCCGCCGACAACGCGCGGCTCCTGGTGGCCTGCAACGCGGGCTCGGGCAGCTCTCCGCCTCCTCCGCCGGCGGCGTGGAGCTCTGCGAACCTCATCGTGGAATCGCGGGGCGGTGGGGCCAACGACGGCGAAGTCACCGTGAATTACGGCTTCCAGAACCTCTCAAACAAGAAGCTGAAGCACAGCGTGGAGCCCGCGGGGCTCGAGGAGCTGCAGCAGGTCTTCGCAGAAGCGCACGCTGGGCTTCATCGCCAACGAGGTGCAGGAGACGGGGCCCGTGGGCCAGGCGCTGCGCGGCAAGCTCGCGAATACAACTGCGTGTGCTGCGTGCTGTGGGGAATACGCCAGGGTTTTCAGGCCCGCGTGGAGGTGCTGGAAGGCGGAAAGGGTGAAGAAAACTAAAAAGAAGGAGCTCGGACCAGCTCAGCTTCGTGTGCGAAGCCACGATGCATCGGCCTTCTGAGCAAAACCTTGCGCAGCTTCTGGACCTGTGGTCGAGCGAATGGAAGCATCGCGGTCGAACAATCCGCCATAGGACCTGGAGCTTATGAAAGATACTGCACTCTGGGCTTGGTCGGTTACGGCGGCATCGTAGGCGTTTCCAAAGCATTCTCGGCGCGGACGGTCTGCCTCGCCATCAACTCTTTCTTGAAAAACCGCTTCCCCGACAAAACGTGGACGTCTATCGCACTGCTTCGCAACCCTAACATGGGCCTCCACCGTGATGTCAAAAATCTGCAGGGTCATATGAACCATGCAATCACTCTGGGCACTTTCACAGGAGGTCGCGTGTGGATTGAAGATGCTGCAGGTGAATCGACGGCTTTGTTGACTTGCACGATCGAGCTGTCAGCTTCGATGCACGAGAACGCTTTCACAAAGTCGAACCTCATCGAGGAACCATGTGGGCGATCGCTGCCTACACTCCTCAAGCTTTCCTGCGCGCGAACGAAGAACACAACGAGACACTGGGTTTTCCAATTCCTCGTCGAACCTGTACTCAATCCAAGAATAACGTGGACGATCCACAGCGCTGATGCTAAACCGGGTCCGGCTGAGCCCCGGGGTCAAACCGAGCGAACCTCGAAATCAAACCCTTGCCACAGCTGCCCTGCCACTGCTGCTCTCTGCACTGTCACTCCGCCCTGCTGCCCTGCCCGCAACTGCCTTTGCAGCGCTGCCACCCACTACTGCTGCCCTGCCATTCGTCACTGCTGCCCTGCCACTGCTGCTGCTCTACCGCAAAGAACAGTGGCAACTGCAGTATAATGCAAAAGCAGCACTCGCTGCAGAGACTCGGTGAGAGACTCAGTCTTTATGGAATCTTTTACGGTGAAGACTGCAGTCTTTTTGGAGTCTCTTCGAAGTCTGCCTACTGCTGCAAACTGCTCTTCTACTGCTGCTACTTCTGCTTCGAGCAAAGATTGCAACATTATTGAATCATTCTTGCGACATTATTG